ATTTACCTGAGTTGATTGCCTTGGTTCAACAAAGATTCAATGGCGGCATAATCTGGTGCGTCGTGTTTTGTCAGACCTGCAACAAGAAACGTTGTTGGTAAATGATAAAATTTAAGTTTTGAAAGATTGTAGGAAATGTTTGAGGCAACTACCTGTAACTCAGTGTTAAACCTTCAAACATTTCTTACAAATTCTTCGTAGAATTTACTGATGCGAAATTTCTACTGTGATCACAGAAACTTTGATTGTGATGTTACCTTGCACATAGGGTCCATCTTTGGGATGTTCCCGTACTCTCATTCTGGCTGGTAAGATGTCGCGTTTTCTCTGACTTGGATTAACACGAAGTAAATCCAAAACTTGTTCATTGTAGATCTCTAGATAACTGCACGACACAATGGAAGAGTCATTTAAGACGATTTAACACCGACGGAAACTGTCCTGATTAAACTAGCTTGCTTTCAAATTCGCGCATTTCAACCGGTAAAAATCAAATAATAAATATACTGCATAATGAAAGAAAACTTTGTGGCATAGTTAGATTTTTAAAGGTAGATTTACACTGCACAACTTTTGCCTAAAACTGTCGCGTGCAACCTGCTTACAACTTGAGTTGTACTGTGTAAATCAAGCATACAACTCACCTGCGTTGTCGAAGGCGTGTGTGTGTTTGATTTCCACAGTACAACTCAAGTTGTAAACAGGTTGCATGCAACAATTTTAGGCCAAAGTTGTGTAGTGTAAATTGGCCTTAAGGTTACAACAAAGTCTATTTCCTTCGCCTTCATTTACATATTGTTAAATTTATATATTGTTAAGTTTTTTTCAATATTTGCGTCAAACATTTTAGAGATGCGTAATATAAAACCGCGCGATTTAAGATGAAGAAGTTATGCAAATTTCCATCTGAAGGCAAGGTATGTGAGTTGAGTAAATACCTGACTTCCATTCTAAATGACTCTTGATCATTGGAGTTCACTGACCCATGTTTATACAAACCCTAAATTGAAATTCATACCTAACTCTGTCAACTATTTTTTAACAAAACGTTTTTCACTTCATGGATTGGAACAAATTCAAGATCAAGCAGAACAAATGTTGCATTGCAGAAAATAACAAAAAAATTCGATCCTTCACCTCACATATTCTTGGAATTAAACCAGGATCATTCTGAAGTATAAAAATTAACATTACATCATGGTACACACGTAAAAATCTCACAACTTGTCAACAAGATTGTTTGCAACAGGCTTGTAGCAAGCTTGTCAACAAGTTGTAACAATGCTGTTATTTTATCAAGTTGCTACAAGGTTGTCACTCACAACTTGTTGAGAAATTGTTGAATTGCAGGACGATAACAAGTTGTTGGAACAATTTGTAACAAGTCTGTTGAGCTCAACACCCTTGTAGCAAGTTGTCAACAAGCTGGGAACAAGCAGTGCGAACACATCCTGTTGACCAGTTGTTGGAACAACGTTGCTACAAGTCTGCTGCAGGTTTGTGGTAGGTGTGTACCTGTGTTCCCATCATTGTGTATGTTTTTCCAGCTCCAGTCTGGCCATATGCAAACACACATGCATTGTAACCTTCACATGCAGCATCTAGTACCATTGTACCAAGATCTTGAAATACCTGTGATCATCATTGATAAAATACTTTATTAGTGATGAGAACTTGTTATGTTCCCTGCTGTATCTGTAGTATAACCAGCTCTTGTGGTGTCGTGCTCACCACACTTGCCTTTCAAGCTGGAGACTTAGGTTTAATCCTTGGTCAGACCTCTACTCAAGCTCTTACAATAATTGAGGAGAAAGAGCTACCTTTATATTGACATCAGTAAGGACATTAAAATGGTAGGTACTTCAGATCCCTTATCAATTGGGCAATAGATCCACTTACCAATGAGTTTCAGAACTCATTAAACAATAAACATCTATTTATCCCAAGAGCCTATTGTAATTGACACAAATTATATAAATGAATGATAATCACCTGTTCTTGAGAAGCAAAATGTTGATCATTCTTTGAAACAGACCAGTAGGAATAGTCATACACAAATTTTTTAAGTGAGGGTTTATTGCTCACAGGAATGTGGCTGTTTTCTACTTTGTGATACTAGAAAAAGTGAAGATGGATCTTAGTTACTGGCTCAGAAGTGCATACAGATGCTTTATGTATCAGCGATGCCTCTAATTTATTTACTCCAAGGAGAAAAAATGCCACAAAGTTTTCCCAGGGAGATTGTGCCTGGCTTCATTTTCCCAGGGAGATTGTGCCTGGCTTCATTTTCCCGTTTGTCTTTAAGTTAATGCAAGGTATACGATTGTTTTCATCGAAGGAGGAAGGGTTTATACTGACAGCAAGTTTTCCTACAAGGTGACTGGTTTACCCTGTGATACAGTAGGAATTTCTAAGTTTTGAAGGATTTGTAAGAAATGTTTAAGCGAACGGACTTGGTGTAAAACATTGAGTAAGTTCCCTCAAATATTTCTTACAAATTCTTCAAAACTTAGTATTTACCAATGCAAAATTCCTACTGGGATCACAAGGAGCCATATGCAGGTGCATCACAGATGTCCTCCAGATGAGCAAACAGATATCTGGTGCAGTTATATTGCAGTTACACATGCAAGGTTTGAAACAAAAAAAAATCTCTATGGTCCCAATGACAGGTGCCTAATTGTTGGAAGTTTCTCGAAGACAAAGACTAGATATTAATCACTGCCACTTTACATTAATGACTTGAATCATATATTCATATCCCAACCCTTCCGACTGTTTATGAATGTATTGACATAGGACTAGATTGTTTCATTTTATCAATCTTTATCAACTCATGGTAGATTTTGGTAGAATAAGGATTTTGTGATTATACTGATGTGGTTTTAACCAAACCAAAGCAGTAAACAAAGTTTTAAATGCTTTTATATATTGTTGTCTTTGTTTTAATAATTGCAGATCGCCTTGCCAGCGTGACGTATTTATGCATTGACATTGTGCTATTGTCGTATTGAGTATTGTGTTTTGGTTTAGTTTATATACCGGCTTCACACTAGAACTCTGGATAAATCCGTTTTAATATACACCAGGAATATTTATGTCATGGTTTATATCTATATTTAAATAGTTTATATCATTGTTTAATCTCCAGATAAACCGGTGTTGAAGATGAATTATTTACAAAAATCAGTCAGCGTGCGATAAAGCCGCAACTGAGATTTAACTTCCCTCAAATGCTGCTATATCGCAGCAAAAGAGCTGATAGCGCATTGTATTTAAATATTCACCCTATAATACTACACTGGTTATTACAGTAACGTTATTAAAAATATCATATCTCTAACCTTATTTGTCTCAATGGTTGTTTGGTTTCCCGACATGCTTATTATAACATTCGAGTTTGAGCCTTTCTCTCTGTCAAAACAAACCAAAATACATGTGTAAGATAAAGAAGCAATGATCAATGATCTACAAACTATCATTCCTTCAAAACAAGCGTGAAAAGTATATATCATTTTCAACCTACCTCTCGTTCAAAGGCCGAACACGCACGGCAACTTTCACAGAGCAATCCATATTTATTTATTTATGTCAAACTTCGGGGATTATAAACACACTATCAAATCATATCATGCCTGTAAAAGAAACGTGGATATATTTTATATAACACATAAACTGAAGCCACAATGGGAAGCGAAATTCGTGTAAACATACCATTTTCCAGATTATAAGTATAAATTCCATGTGAAAGTATAAAGGGTTTAATACATAGCGAGTTACATTAGTGTAGTTCCTGACGCACTCCAATGCAGCTGGTGTTCTTTGTGTATACAACAATTTCCCCTCTTTCACTCACGTACGAGCGAGGGTTAACCGTTTATGTAAAATGTATTTTTTGACAGGACACAGAGCGAAGAATATTGCTTGCATGACATTATATGACATTCACGAGATAGTTATAAACAGTTGAAGCTTGAAAACCGGAAACTTGCGCACACAAAAGACAGGTGACAAGGTCGACCTCAAATGAATGAAATTACATGCAGAATCTCGGAAATCATTCAACTATGACCGCGACGCACTCGACTTCAACAATATTTAGATACAACATGCATGTATGATGAGGTTTATATGTAATTTAGACAGGGTTATATAGAGTGGGGGTTATATGCTGATATGGGTAAAATGCGGTCTGCAGACCTCTCAACTCTCACGCATTCGGCGTGAGTCTCACGCAATTCGCTTCAGTCTCACGCTCTCACGCCAGACCTCTCAATTCTCACGCATTCGGCGTGAATCTCACGCAATTCGCTTCAGTCTCACGCTCTCTCTCACGCCACGTTTAGTAAATCTAAGTTATCTAACGCATAAAAAGAGGTCGCCGAAATAATTTTTCCGGAAAAAATTTTTTCAATCTCACTCTTAACTTCTGCAAAGTTGAGAGGTCTGGGTCTGGGCTTTCGTTTTAATAGCTAATTTTGCCAGTTTTCCCCGCGCTTCTAGATTCACTTCACGTTTGAGGACAGATCATGAACAGACTTGTTACAAAGCTGTTACAACAACCTGTGTCATTGTGTGTGTATTCACACTAGCTTATCAAATTGTTGCAGACCTGTAACAGACCTGTTACAAGGTTGTTTCCATTTCAACAAACGTGTATAAGGTTTGTCGATCTATCTCCGGGCGACACTTGCTACAAGGTTGTCAGATGGTATTCGCAAAGTTAATATTGTATGACAGCTTTCTATGTTTGATGGTAAAATAGACTTGTTACAACTTGTGGCAAGTTGCCACAACTTGTTACCGCCTTGCATGCTAAATGTTTTGCAATAGTTGCACGTTTTTCACAAGTTTAATATGACAAATAAAAATCACAATATAGAAAGTTGTTTTTCTATTTGAAAACTGTGAGACCTAATAATGACGTTACATGACGTATGGGCCAATATACGAGAACAACAAAAATGTGATAGAAAATGTGAGTTCTATTTTTTTTGTTTTTGGTTTGAAAACCACAACTTATGCTGATGCAAACACTCTTAAAACAATGAAATATACTTGAAGAGTCTTGGTTTTTTCTAAAGCTTTCTCTTTGCGGCGTAAGCAGCGGGAATGAGTGGGGAAATTGTCCAACTTAATGTTGGAGGAAGAAGGTTTGTAAATTTTAAAGTTTTGCTGAGGTTTTCATTTTTTATTCTGAATGTATTGTGTTATATTAAACTACGATGTTGAGCTGTTAGATGAGTGAAATCACTCTAGATTAATTTTTGAATTTATTAGTATTGTGTATATAAAATAGAATATATATTTTCATGCAGCTGTGAGTGAGTTGTGTTTTAGCAGTATAAATCATGGCTGCTATCTATTGAAAATTTTACTGTTCTCGAGTAATAATAGACAAATGTGGCTACCGTTTGTTTATACTCAATTCACAAATTTAGGTAACTCACATGCTTAGAATTTGTTCTAGTTTTTACACAAGCATAGAATAGAACAAAGGTGACTATTAATATTTAGAATTATATCCATGAGTGAGTGACTCGTATATACTCTAATGCTTAGTTGCCTTTGGTATAAAATATTATATTGGTGTCCACACTACAACGAAAATTATTGTTTGACGATAATGATTTTAAAATAGCTCACCCGAGGGATATTTTTCAGTTGGACGATAACGATAAATTTTTTACCAAACAGCATGCGTATATAGAGGATATTACATGGCGGCGCGATATATGACTTTTATCTTCGAGTGGTGAAAACAATATTTTGCAAACAAGTGCAGCGAGTGAGTAAAATATTGTTTTTAACACGAGAAGTGGATAAAAGTCATATCTTCAAACCACTGGGTAATGTTCTGTTTATTATATTGTCCCAAGCAAAAAATTGTGAAATTTCATGCTCAAAAGCAAATTGGAAAAAGTCATGTGATTGATATCTTCACTAGTGAAGATATGGAAAATATCTCGCTGTGTATTTTTCAGTATCTCACTCTCGACTATATAATAAATACAAGTTATTGTATCGTGTAGTGTGACTGGGCCTTTACACTGCATAACTTTTGCTTACAACTGTTGCATGCAACCTGCTCACAACAAATTGAGTTGCACTGTTAAATGTACTCGTGCAATACCGCAAAGCTGTATTCTTATTAAGTGTGTTGAATTATATTGTGGACCAAAGATTTTTAAAAGAAATATTGTTTTAATTAATGTTTAGGTTTTCAACATCGACTCAGACTTTAATTTGGGTTCCAGACTCATTTTTCTCCAGGTTTGATTTCAGATGAAATTTGTTTGAGAAAATCTATCATTAGTTTGGTAATGTACTGAAGATACTATTTCACTTTATATTTAGTTTACTTAGTGGAAGAATTGAGTCAATTAAAGATGAAACAGGAGCAGTAAGTATTTCAAATTTTTACTGCAAATTATTCTCTAAACCAATGGTAACAGTGTTCTATGAATAATTTTGTTATTACAATTAATCTATGAAGTACAATCTGATGTGATAAATATTTTGTATTTTTGAAAGATTTTTATTGACCGAGATCCTGATGCCTTTGTGCCGATCTTGAATTTCTTGAGAACCAAAGAATTAGATTTAAGGTAAGGCTGGGATGATTGACATTCTCTTCATCTAGTGCCTGACTGTCTAAAACCATGCAATGTCTGTCTAAAACAATTTTGCTCTCTGAATAAATGCCAGACAAGTGTATTAATGTGTTAATGTTCTTCCCAGGGGTTTAGATTTGAAAGTTGTCAAGCACGAAGCTGAATTTTATGGAATTACTCCACTTGGTATGGTCTACATTATTTCATATTTTCTCAAGAAAATGTTTTTTCCGTCCTTTATGTTTTTGACAATGACATAATGAGATTTTTTCAAGTTACTTTTGCAATGTGTTTTAGTGAAACGTCTAACTCTGTGTGAGGACATCAGTGGGTCAAAGTGTGGCAATGTTTATTTTCATGGATACCTTCATACCGCAGGTAAATAAAGTTTCAGAAATAAACAACAAGCTAAATTAAATCCTGTAAATCCTCTGTCTCTCACTCTAATAATCCACCTCCAGTATATCTCCTCTAATATCTTCTAATTAGCCCACCCCTCTCTAATTAGACCCTCTCTCTAATAAGCCTCTCTCTAATAAAACCTCCTTTCTAATTAGCCCACCCCTCTCTAATTAGACCCTCTCTCTAATAAGCCTCTCTCTAATAAAACTTCATTTCTAATTAGCCCATCCCTCTCTAATTAGACCCTCTCTCTAATAAGCCTCTCTCTAATAAAACCTCCTTTCTAATTAGCCCACCCCTCTCTAATTAGACCCTCTCTCTAATAAGCCTCTCTCTAATAAAACTTCATTTCTAATTAGCCCATCCCTCTCTAATTAGACCCTCTCTCTAATAAGCCTCTCTCTAATAAAACCTCCTTTCTAATTAGCCCACCCCTCTCTAATTAGACCCTCTCTCTAATAAGCCTCTCTCTAATAAAACTTCATTTCTAATTAGCCCATCCCTCTCTAATTAGACCCTCTCTCTAATAAGCCTCTCTCTAATAAAACCTCCTTTCTAATTAGCCCACCCCTCTCTAATTAGACCCTCTCTCTAATAAGCCTCTCTCTAATAAAACTTCATTTCTAATTAGCCCACCCCTCTCTAATTAAACCCTCTCTCTAATGAGCCTCTCTCTAATAAAACCTCCTTTCTAATTAGCCCACCCCTCTCTAATTAGACCCCCTCTCTAATAAGCCTCTCTCTAATAAAACTTCATTTCTAATTAGCCCATCCCTCTCTAATTAGATCCTCTCTCTAATAAGCCTCTCTCTAATAAAACTTCCTTTCTAATTAGCCCACCCCTCTCTAATTAGATGCTCTCTCTAATAAGCCTCTCTCTAATAAACCCTCCTTTCTAATTAGCCCAGCCCTCTCTAATTAGACCCTCTCTCTAATAAGCCTCTCTCTAATAAAACTTCATTTCTAATTAGCCCATCCCTCTCTAATTAGACCCTCTCTCTAATAAGCCTCTCTCTAATAAAACCTCCTTTCTAATTAGCCCACCCCTCTCTAATTAGACCCTCTCTCTAATAAGCCTCTCTCTAATAAAACTTCATTTCTAATTAGCCCACCCCTCTCTAATTAAACCCTCTCTCTAATGAGCCTCTCTCTAATAAAACCTCCTTTCTAATTAGCCCACCCCTCTCTAATTAGACCCCCTCTCTAATAAGCCTCTCTCTAATAAAACTTCATTTCTAATTAGCCCATCCCTCTCTAATTAGATCCTCTCTCTAATAAGCCTCTCTCTAATAAAACTTCCTTTCTAATTAGCCCACCCCTCTCTAATTAGATGCTCTCTCTAATAAGCCTCTCTCTAATAAACCCTCCTTTCTAATTAGCCCAGCCCTCTCTAATTAGACCCTCTCTCTAATAAGCCTCTCTCTAATAAAACTTCATTTCTAATTAGCCCATCCCTCTCTAATTAGACCCTCTCTCTAATAAGCCTCTTCTAATTAGCCCATCCCTCTCTAATTAGACCCCCTCTTTAATATGCCCTCCTCTCTAATATGACCCTCTCTCTCTAATTAGACCCCTCTCTAACAGACCCCTCTCTTTCCAATAAGCCCATCTTTTTGGATGGAGAAACTTGCCAATGCCACCTCTCTATAAATCTCCTTGCCCCTTTTATAATGAAGAAACACATTTCTACTGACTAGACTTATTTTGATTTAATTAAGGAGCTCCCTCCTCTCCCAAAAGGTGGATAATTTTTATGAAATTCTATTTCAGCTCTGCCAGCCATTCCCTCCAAGACGTATTTCAAGCTGATAGGTCGTAGTGACATGCTCAGCACGTCGTCGCTCACATCTGAAGACCAAGAAACAAGTAACACAAGACATGGCGAGATAGAGAGAATTGAAGGTATTGGAAACAATGATCAAAAGTAAAAAGAGTTTGAAATGAATTGTAGCATATATATCCTAAAGCGTGTGTTTACTCATTTTAAAGACTTGCATCGTGTTCAATTGTTGACTGGTCATCATAACTGGCTAGCTGTGGCTTACCCCAGATGCGTGTGTTGTTTTCAGTAAGTGAAAATATACCTTGGCTTGCTTTTAATAGTTACGGATGTCCTACATTTAGAAATTCTTACTTGAAATCTCGATACTACTGTTATACATAATATATCAGTAATATATACTTACTATAGTGATTTGAATGTTAGCGCTGCAAATAACGACCGGTCAACGGTCAATGACCGGCGAATTTAGGACATTAAAGGCCGCTTTTTTGTTTTCATTGATCATTTTGAGCGAGTTAATATTACTAGAGTGCCAGTGATGGTTTTTTCCAGTGAGCATACTGTATTGATATTTAATGTTAAGATATAGAAATTGAAGTTTAAGAGGGGTAATCTTATTTCCTTGCCAGCAAATATTGAGATATTGTGATAAACATGTGCTCGGGATTTCATTTTCACATTAGCAGCATCACTTGACTAACTTTCAAAATGTAAAACACTGCGCAAATTTATTAAACAAGTGAAATGGTCAGCCCTAAAAGTAATTAAAGTGCATGAAAAGTTTATTGTTTTTGCTTATGAACAATTGTTATTGTTTGATCGGGATGATTCTGTACCGCGTAATTTAATTTCCCTGATCATCATGTCCGTCGACGTTTCTGTAATTATTTGCAGCGTTGAAACGCCTCTAATTTCCTTTGTGTTTTGCTCACTAATTGTTAATGAGTCAGATCGAAAGTGACGTTCACACTATCTTACACACTGTATTTCCAGATTAGCAGATCACAAAGGTTCAAGAGAACAAGTCTTCACCAGTCCTTTTCTTGAAGACACGGTTGAATATCTCGCACTCAATACGAGAGTGGTTGGACAATGGGGCGATAAACTAGTTGCCGCTTCGTCAGGTGATCATCTCTTCATAAATACAGTATTGATCAAAACTAAACCAAAAGCTGGTTTACTCTATCAAAGTTTCTGTGATCACAGTAGGAATTTTGCATGGGTAAATTCTAAGTTTTGAAGAATTTGTAAGAAATGTTTGAGGAAACTGACTCAGTGTTAAACAGTAACATTGCTTACAAATTCTTTAAAATTTAGAATTTACGTATGTAAGATTCCTGCTGTGATCACAGCAACTTTGACGATAGTGTAAACCACTGGTTTACAAAAAAAAAATCCAGCCTTAACACTGTGTCTGTGCCCTGTTCATATTCAATTACGACGCAAATACAATACAATGGTCTCTTGGATTACACTCGGCATAGTAATGGTGCCATACAGTTGCGGTCCAATGATTCAAATGTTTTCATTGTGTTTCCATTGTCTTTTCATTGTCTTTTCATTCTCTTGAAAACCCTACTCCATCCAGTTACCCGTTGTTCAAGACAGTATTTTTGTTGTTGATTTTTACCAGGAAGTAAATTTCAACTCTGGAACTGCACACAAGGAACAGCTATAGGTGAGATTGACATGATCCTGATGGAAAGTTAGAAACTATACATCTATATATACTATACTCTGGTAAAAACACACGAGTTGTTACATATCTGTTATAGACTTGTTACAAGGTTGTTCCAACAAACCAGTATTATGTTGCGTTCAAACTGCTTGGTTAAAATTGGTAGACAAGTCGTGATAGGCCTACAACACAGACGTGCTGCAAGATTGACAATTGTTCTAACAAATCTGTTATAGACTTGTTTCAAAATTGTTCCATCAAACGAATATTATGTTGCATACGTTCAAACTGCAAGTTCAAACTTGTCAACAAGTTGTTATATAGGCATACACTACAGACTTGATCACAATTGAACAACGAAACAGACTTCTCAAACGTTGTTGAGCGAATTTAGATACAAATTTTCTTTTTCAACTTTTGATATTACTTCTGACAACAAGTAACTTCTTTTAATACATGAGCTCGTACGGTTTACTGATCGAATGCGAAAAAATAATGTGGTGTAACATGTTATTTCAGGGAAATTTGATCTTGGTATTCAGATCGATGCGTTGTTCTTTGTTGGCAGTCAAGTCGTGGCGATCAGTTACACGGGGAAAGTTGGTATTTGGAATTCACGAATGCCCAGGCATTGGCAGGTGATCATATTTCAAACATTTTAAGAGGAGAATGTTTTGTATGTTACGTAACACAAAACTAATGATTAACATTTTTGATATGTTTCTCAAGGGGGGGGGAGGGGGGCAAAACTTAAAAAGTTTGATTAGTGCTTTATCTGTAAAATTATGTTAAAATGAAGAGATTTTATATGGTACGCCAAAGAGAAAATGATGTCTGAAGTTCAGCAAGTTTTGCTAATATTGCTGTATAAATATGGCGTCAATTTTACAGCATCAATGATAATTGTATTCAAATTGGCAAATTTAACAATTATTTTGTGTTCCTGAACCGCCAGATACATTTAAAAAGGTTGCTAACTGTGTAAACTACAAAATAAAGTTAAAACAAAGTAATTTTGAGAGGAACGCCATAAAGATTTTAGGTCTTGACTCTTGAACATTTTTCATCGCAAATACTCATCAACTGGGAAAATTAAACAATTCAAAATGGCCCACTATCGAAATTTTCCCGGGCGATGACTACTAAGACCAGCATTCCTCGCGGGCATCGAGCCTTGTGACGTCATTATGCGTAAAGTTTATTGTTAAGTTCAAAAACTTTCATTTGTGAAGGTACAAGAAGTGATTCCTATATCAAGTTACGACACTGGAGGCACCCTGCTTCTCCTGGGATGTCACAATGGCTCCATTTATTATATTGGTACGTTCACAATACGAGATTGATATTTAAAGTTTGTGTAAAAATATTATATTATAGTTATATAGTGTTATATTATATATATATGGATTTTGAACATCCAGACTCGAACCGACTTGACCACGTAGCTCAGTTGGCAGAGCATTGGACTAGTTTCCCAAAGGTCGTGGGTTCGATTCCCACCGTGGTCAGGCAAACTTTTCAGCTTGCCCGGTGTGGATGCACTCAAAGTAACACCACAAACATCATAATTGTGGAGGGGTTTTGAGTGTGAATATTTTATACATTTATAAGACCCAACCATACAACCTGTAGACAACTGGCTTCTGTAGCTCAACTGGTTAGAGCGCTGCACCGGAATCGCAGGTTCGTTTCGACGGTCTATATAAAAGGTCTAATAAATATATTTCCATCTAGAAAACCCTTCCACAATTTGTTGTATTCTAGAGTATTATATTATGTATTATAATATAGCATTTGTAAATTCTGAATGCTGATTGGCTAAGAGCCGTGTTGATATAACTCAATGTCAACACGGAAACGTTGGAAAATTTCTTTCTTTATATTTCTTTGTGCTATATTACAAAACAAATATAAACATTTTTTCCGTATTGACATATAGTTATATCAACATGCACTCGTGGTAATAATTTGGGAAAACTCGAAATTGTGTGAAAACACTCCGCCCTACGGGCGTCATGTTTCCACACAATTTCTCGTTTTCCTAATTTCCACTCGTGTTGATATAACTGCATATCAACACGGAAAATGTTTTATATTTGTTAAGTGTTATATTATATTATATTATATTATATAGTGTTATATTTGTTTTCGTAGATATGGAGAAATTTCCGCTGAGAATGAAAGACAATGACTTGCTGGTGACGGAACTGTACAGAGATCCCGCTGGAGACAAAGTGACTGCACTCAGTGTCTATCTTACTCCAAAATCATGTACGTCACTGAGGGTTTCTTCTAGAGGGTTTCCCAAATACAAAACTCGATTATTCAACGATGAACAGACAAGAAGAAGTTCAACGTTTCGGGCGAAGGCCCTTCGGCTGTAAAGCCTGTTTTCCTCTTCAACCGTATCGTAACGTACCGTAGCATTTTCTTTTGTGTCGAAGTCATTAGTTCCACACTATCGCTCAGGAAACAGAGAAATACGCTACGCTTCGGTACGGTTGAAGTGGAAAACTGGCTTTAGTAGTCGCTAATAACTTCACGACGAAGTGCCTTCGCTCGAAACGTCGAAGTTCTCCTTGTCTTTTTCTGGTAGTTGTATCCCTATCAATCTGAACCTTTCTTATTATTGCCACTGCATACACTGGTACAGATCTTTCAGGATGAAAATATATTGTTGTTATTTTACTGACTATATATAGGTATCAGTGGAGGTAACTGGATTGAGATCGCGTATGGTACAGAATCAGGTGTCGTACGCGTCATAGTTCAACATCCAGAGACTGTGTATGCCGCTGGCCATGGTCCGCAGTTGTTTCAAACATTCACTGTTCATCGTTCTCCTGTCATTAAAGTGATGTTGAGTGAAAAGCATCTCATATCAGGTAAGCATTTCAGTCTCACTTCACCTCACATGTGAGAAGACTGCTTTCACTTTTGACTCTACCAAATATCACAGCTTTTCTCCGCTTTCTGAAGTCGTCAGAGAAAACTCCTTTCACTCTCGTGTCGTAACACTTCATCCAGGGATGGATCCTGCATGCTCTGGTAGGGAGCTGCGGCGGGGGTGCTCTGCCAGCTCTGGTGCCGAGTTGTGTCGGTCATGTGTGCCGCCCGCCCATCGACTTGCTTCACTACTGCAAAGTCTTGCTTGACTACTGTATTTGAATTGTAATTGTTGTTCACAGTTCGCTTAACATCATGTTATTACTCAAATTACTGTATCTCATTTTAATCATGAAAAATATCACTCCCCCCCCCCCCCTGCACCCCCCAGTAAATCCATCCCTGACTGCATCTATGAAGGACCACACTCACTGGAGCTCTAGGGAGTTTAGTTTAGTTTGGTATGGTAATAATGCTGTGTTTATTTCAGTTTGTTCAGACTACAATCATGTTCGTACGTGGAACGTGACGAGATTTCGTGGAATGTTATCAACACAACCTGGTTCAACCCCTCTCGCGTCCTTCAAAGTTGTTTCTTTAGAACGTTCTGAACCACATCCAAGTTCTGCCTCTGGGAATATGTTAGGTAAGTAGGAATTATTGTTTGTGGAAACACCATGTAAATTTGTTATTGCAACTAATTGTGCAGTATTAAATTTACATGATGTTTCCACAAACATAAGTATTATATGTTTTATCACCATGCAATCCTGTTTGGTTGCTGTAAATAGAGGAAGGAAACCTTTGCCATGGTAGACTGTGCATTTACTTTTGACAGATCATTTAGTAGAGAACATTTTCTCCAATCCCTTTTGACCCAAATGGTGCTTATCAAATCTCGCTTAAGAAATCCTGCTTGAAATCTTCCCTTCGTGATTCTGTGAGGACAGTTTTGTACACACGTAAAAATCTCACATCTTGTAGCAAGTCTGCCAACAAGCAATCAACAAGTTGTGTTCGCATTGCTTGTCCCAAGTTGTCAACAAGTTTGGAACAAGCTGTTAACAACTTGTAACAACCTTGTTGATAATATCAGACTTGTTGCAAGGTTGTTCCAACAAGTCCGCTACATATAACGATATCGTTACAACCTTGTGTCATCAACCCTGTAAAATTCTTGTTATATCATGGCTGTATCAGACTTGTTAGAACAGTCTTGTAACAAGTCTGATAATGCCATCAAACTTGTTACAAGTTGTTACCAGCTTGTTCCAAACTTGTTACAACAATTGGGAACAAGCAGTGCGAACACAACTTGTCGACAGCTTGTGAACAGATTTGTAACAACTTGTTTGCAGACCTGACGCAATATGACGTTTTTTTCTTTGTAGGTCCATTTGGTGAACGCGACGACCAACAAATATTTGTTCAAAAAGTTGTTCCAGATTCGGATCATTTATTCATCAGACTCGTATCGACTGGAAAACGCATCTGTACAATCCGTTCAGTGGATGGTAGTATGATCATATCTTATTGTGTTAATGAATGTGATGGCTCAAGTGGTATGGGCTCCAGACCACGCAGATATCTTTTCACTGGACATTCGAATGGTTGTGTCCAGGTTAGTTCACAGAGGAAGTATATCTTTACTCTTTGCTATTGTCGCAGAGGAAGTATATCTTTACTCTTTGCTATTGTCGCAGAGGAAGTATATCTTTACTCTTTGCTATTGTCGCAGAGGAAGTATATCTTTACTCTTTGCTATTGTCGCAGAGGAAGTATATCTTTACTCTTTGCTATTGTCGCAGAGGAAGTATATCTTTACTCTTTGCTATTGTCGCAGAGGAAGTATATCTTTACTCTTTGCTATTGTCGCAGATGAAGTATATCTTTACTCTTTGCTATTGTCGCAGAGGAAGTATATCTTTACTCTTTGCTATTGTCGCAGAGGAAGTATATCTTTACTCTTTGCTATTGTCGCAGAGGAAGTATATCTTTACTCTTTGCTATTGTCAGTCATATTTCACGTCCTCAGCACAAATGATCATTTATGGTGTGCTCAAGTCAAGTCAAAACATCTGGTGAAAAAAAACATTGACCACAAATTAAAGATCTTGTAAAATTCTTTCTTTGTTTAGATGTGGGACTTATCTTCCGCGTTGCAACAAGCCAACAAACAGACAGGTAACTACTTTACTACTTCTCAGAATTAAGCCTGGTTTACATTGTCAAAGTTTCTGTGATCACAGTAGGAATTTTGCAAAGGTAAATTCTAAGTTTTGAAGGATTTGTAAGAAATGTTTGAGGGAACTTACTCAGTGTGAAACATTAAGTCAGTTTCCTCAAACATTTCTTACAAATTCTTCAAAACTTAGAATTTACCCATGCAAAATTCCTACTGTGATGACAGAAACAACAGCTGGTAAACCAGGCCAAGTGTGATATTTCTGATCGCCATTCTGTTGCCCTGCCTTACTGAAATCTACCAATAAACGTCTTATCACTTTTCAGACAACATGGCCGGGCCAACTCAAGACGAGTTACTTCAAGTATTAGATAATTGTGATCTCAGTAACTCCCGCTGTACAACACCAAGTGTATCGCCGGCGGCATCGCTGTACAATACCGCTGGCAGCAGCCGGGTGCGTTGTGCAGGCGCGGCGCTCTATGACAGTCATCTTGCGAGCAGCATAGAAGAACAACATGAGTTAGATGTAGTCAATGAGATACACGATGATGGCGAGAATGCAGACATGCCTGTCAACAGACCTACATATTTCGTATCACAATGCTAGAGCAACATAGGGACGTCTAACATTAACATTCTCATGGAATGCATGGTAGGACGCGAAATCGAGGGTCAACTCGTGCCCTACCATGCCAATAACGTTCTTTGGGGGGGGGGGGCCTGACATTTTGACCAAGTTTTGGCGAACCTTTTGATCAACTTTTCGAAGGTCATCAAATTCGTGATAGTAAACTTGAATACTTGTGAGGTGGGTTTTTTTAAAGGTGAAAAGTTCGCGCAAGTCAACTAATATTTCTTTTTCTTTGCGCTTTCGGTACCACAATAGTTAGTTGACAATTTAAACGAATTTGAAAAACCAACAAGTGACCAACTATTTTGACCAAGTATTTTCTATTTTGACCAACCTTTTGAACTTAATATATACCTCACTGGAATAAAACCCTCTTAATTAAATCGATATAAGCAATAAAAACACCAGGAGGCATTGAGAATTTTTGGCAATAAAAAATGTTCTTCTTTGCGGGGGCCTTTAAGGTTTTAGTTTATTACGTATTTTAATTTTACAAGCTTTGTCACAACAAGAATACATGAGAAATAACAATAATTATATATATATATATATATATATATATATATATATATATATATATATATATATATATATATATATATATATATATATATATATATATATATATATATATATATATATATATATGATTTCGATATTTTTTGTTGAGATTTTTTCTCAAGGTCTTGCTTACTTTATTTCCTTCCACTCGTGAGCTCACTACGTGATCATAGTGATCAAACGTAGTGTCCAGGCCTTGTGACCCTGGATGGACACTTAAATGGAAGGAAACCACACTGTAAACGTAAAGAATTTTATTCATTGATATTAAAATTACATAGTCGTGTTCCTCTACGGCCACGACCTCTTCTATTTCTTCCCATCTTCGCACACTATATCAAACCTAGGAGAAGCATTGTATGACCAGGGTTGTCTGCCAGTTATATATACTCTAGGCAATTCATAGTGCAACAGGTAGAAACGAAGGGTAATTATGCCACCAACAATAAGGTTACAGGTGTTTAAGTAAACAATTAGATCATTGCACTAAAAGTGCTCTAGTTAAATTAATAACGAGCATAATAGATTTCATATTTTTATGTCTTTGTTTGACATTCGACAAAGCAGCAACACTCGCTAAGTACGAGGCGCGCATAAGTCTATACAATGAACTATGCAATCTAATTGATCTAATTTTAAACACCTGTAACAAGGCCTGGACACTACGTTTGATCACTATGATCACGTAGTGAGCTCACGAGTGGAAGGAAATAAAGTAAGCAAGACCTTGAGAAAAAAACTCAACAAAAAATATCGAAATCATATATTATGCTCGTTCGGGGTACCACGTTCTTGAGCACTCTATAGTTCATTGTATAGACTTATGCGCGCCTCGTACTTAGCGAGTGTTGCTGCTTTGTCGAATGTCAAACAAAGACATAAAAATATGAAATATATATATATATATATATATATATATATATATATATATATATATATATATATATATATATATATATATATATATATATATTCCGAAGGAGGTATGTATTTCCCGCGCGTAATACAAATTGACTGAAAATGACAAACTTCGCAAGGCTATATTATCCGCATTTTACAACATTTCACAATGAAACTTTGGAATATTACTAATTTTGTGATGCTCTTTCAAGCTGTGACAAAATTTTTGTCTAGACTTGTTGAGATCTAAATTTTAGTCAAAAGGTGAAAGGTCCATTACTGTGATCAATGACAAAACATACGATTTACAAATGTACAAGTACAGAGTTGCACAAACAGTGCCGGATTAACCTTATGGCACCCGCGCTTTTGGAGGTCCCGCGCTTACTGTCTCGTATCGATTAATTCCAAGGTATACAGCTATTTCAATTAAGGTTGTCCCCCGAGCAAAGCGGAAAAGTCGAATACGAGCGCGAAAGGCCGCTGGGAATCGCTTAAATATTAATTAACGTTCCGTACCAGTTCTGTACCATTGAACTGTACAGTGATCTATAACCCAACCATGTCAGGCGAGCCAGTGTGTATTTCTGATTTTGAAAATCATGCCAAAGAATTTCTCCCAAAGAACGCCTGGGATTATTATAGTTCTGGAGCGAATGAAGAGAATACATTGAGAGAGAACAGATGTGCTTTTGACAGGTACGAAATATTTTGTTGTTGTTTTTAGGTTTAAAGAACATTAATTCAAAAACGTGCTCAATTTGTCTTTATTTTTATATACACTTATACAGTACTCTGACTGAAGTTGCGAAGTTAGACGACGAGGACGTGGTTCATAATTTTTGTCTGTCTTGTACATTATCTTGCACATTCTGAGTTTAGGGTCAGGGATGAAGACAGATTAGAGATTCATGTCTAGTTTATGAATGCTGACCCAAATCCTTACCTTGATCAGGACAAAACAGCGAGACATGAATCCCGTCTTCGTTCTTCTGCCTTCGTTCGGAACGAATATTGTGGAAAAATTCGTTGTGAACTTTGTTCTGAACGAAGGCAGAAGGACAAAGACGGGATATAGTTTCATGTCTCGCTGTTTTTTTCTGGGTCAGCGCAAGAATTAGGGTCAGTATTCATAAACAGCGACACATGGGAAGACGCGCTGAACAACCACCTGTGACGTCCGACTCAGTATGCGTAAGATAATTTGCAGACGGCAAAAATTATCAAGTACGTCTTCGTACTACGTTGTCTTTCTCAAACTCTCTAATATCGACTTTTACACGTCGTCCAACAGAACCCTTTGGCGTCTACCTGCTAAATAGCTTTTAAACCATTTTATAGTGGATTGGGAAAAACCAGTAAGATGTCATGATGTATCAAATGAAAGGTTTTGCGGAAGTGTAGGAATTTCTATTCCTAGTATATTGACCCATATAGCTTTTCATTGCAAGAATCAACTCGCTGTGAGTGCTTGCACTAATTAGAGTAAACTGTCGAGCATTGTGATTCAGGTTGAAAGCACTTGCTTGCGAGCTTTCAAGAAAATTTCCAAGAAAATTTTCCACGGACAGAAAATTTTCCAAGAATATCATTGTTAAAAGTTTGAAAATTTTCAACTTCAAAATTTTTTCCGCGGAAAATTTGTGTCGGCCAATCACATTTTACACATTTTTCTTTCTGCGGAAAATTTTCTTGAGTGGAAATGGGCCTTCACTCTTGCGATGACTAGAAACGACTTTTAATTCTAAGAAAAATACACTTTACAGATGAGTGTTTTTAGGCAGTTGCCTTCTAGCAGTATCCCGATATCCACGGGATATATAAAAAATTTGGTTTTGGATGAATGACTTGTATCCAGACTGAAAATTTCAAACGTTAAGAAAATGTTAAACACCTTTGACGAGCTCCTGATAGATTTTGAATAGATAGATAGATTTTGAATAGATAGATAGATTTTGAATAGATAGATAGATTTTGAATAGATAGATAGATTTTGAATAGATAGATAGATTTTGAATAGATAGATAGATTTTGAATTGATAGATAGATAGATTTTGAATAGATAGATAGATTTTGAATAGATAGATAGATAGATTTTGAATAGATAGATAGATTTTGAATAGATAGATAGATTTTGAATAGATAGATAGATAGATTTTGAATAGATAGATAGATTTTGAATAGATAGATAGATTTTGAATAGATAGATAGATTTTGAATAGATAGATAGATAGATTTTGAATAGATAGATAGATTTTGAATAGATAGATAGATTTTGAATAGATAGATAGATAGATAGATAGATTTTGAATAGATAGATAGATTTTGAATAGATAGATAGATTTTGAATAGATAGATAAGATTTTGAATAGATAGATAGATTTTGAATAGATAGATAGATTTTGAATAGATAGATAGATTTTGAATAGATAGATAGATAGATAGATAGATTTTGAATAGATAGATATTTTATTTTGATACGCTAACTACGTCAATTAGAAATATTGATTTCCACGAAGGGCGTGTGTTCTAAAGTTATTATATATAAATGTTCTTATGACTCTTATGGTATCTAATAAAAGAAAATAGAAATAATCCAACTGTTCCAATTGACAAAATTGACAATATAGACAACTAACAAAACATATAGTTAATAACTATTTACAATAAAGGTTTATATATATGTATAAATATATTATTTAGTAACATGAGCAGCAATTTTTCTTTCAAGTAGAGACTGGGACCTAATTCCTCTGATTTCGTTAGGCACTGAGTTCCATATTTTTGCCCCATTAAACATAAAACTCTTTTTAATGCTATTTGTGCGGGGCTGTGGCAAAACGAGTGTTGTTTCATTGTCACGGAGACAGTAATGTGTATTCTCATTCTTGTAGGTAAAAAGGTCTTTTAGGCTTTTTGGCCCAGACTTATTCAAAATTTTGAACATTAATTTTGTCTTAGAATATTATCAGTTTACCACCAGTCTTTCCGCATTGAGGACTAGCATTCTCGTAGCATATAGAAGTTTGAAAGATTATGTACGTTTTAGTGTATTAATGAATTGTCGAGTCTCCTGTTGTTATTGTAATTTGTAACAGTGAGAGTTCTGGAAACTTATTTGGATGGGAGGGGGTATAATACTTATATGGTACCAGTATCCAGAAGTGGGGCACTGGATTCTCAGGGGGGGGATAGTAAATTTTGAATCCTGGTATCCCCGTTGGATATTGGGGAAAATATAAATTCAGACCTTGCTTCAAACTTCGATTACGTAATTACAAGCATAGGCAGATTACGTAATTCATTTGTGGCACAGACTCGCAGTGCCCCAGCGACTAATCATTTTGCATATTTAAAAATTAATTTCTAACAGGCCATGTGTATCTTATTTTCTACAGACTGAGGTTGCGTCCTCGTGTGCTGCGAGATGTTTCGAGCATTGATATGTCCACAACAATCCTTGGAGAGAAAATTGATTTTCCAATTTGTGTCGCGCCAACTGCCATGCAGAAGATGGCGCATCCTGATGGAGAAATTGCAACAGCGAAAGGTAGTTCACTCTGACCAGGTGTTGTGGTCCCCTCGCTTGTCTTTGAAGCAGGGAGACCCAGGTCGGACTTCCACTTGAAGGTTCAATTGGGCAATACCGTAAACCTCTGACTATAAGCCCCCCTCCCTGTGTATAAGCCCAGCACATGTACTAACGCTCACCTCATTCCAAATATAAGCCCCCCCCCAAATATAAGCCCGGCCACCCGAATATAAGCCCCCCGAATATAAGTCTCCCGAATTAATATAAGCCCAGTAATCGCTGCTTAATACATGTTTATTTTCCTGTTTATGACTGACTTGTTTATGTCTGACTTGTTTATTACTAACACAAAAGATCGTCCATGTATAAGCCTCCCCGTATATAAGCCCACCCTTGTATAAGCCCATCAAAAATCGCTTACGAAAGTATATAAGCCCAGGGCTTATAGTCGGAGGTTTACCGTAGCCTGCTGGAAATTCACTTACCAAATGACGAATTCTAAAAACTTCACTTGGATTGATAATTGTAAAGAAATGCCTTTTTAATTCCGGGGGTATACTACAGTTGATCCTTTCTTTCTAGAAAATAATTCTTAATTGTTCTCTAGCTATTGGCCAAGCTGGTACATGCATGACTTTGAGTTCATGGTCAACATCGACCATTGAAGATGTTGCGAGTTCCTCCTCTGGATTAAAATGGTTTCAGTTGTATGTCTACAAAGATCGAGATGTTACAATAGACTTGATACGAAGAGCGGAGAGCGCAGGTTTCAAAGCTATTGCAGTGACTGTTGACACGCCCCAGGTCGGCCAAAGGTACGCTGAAATTCGCAATAAGTTTGCGTTACCCCCTCATTTAACAGCAGCCAACTACAACAACAGTTATGCAACTGGAGTGAAGAGTTACTGGGATTCATTTGACTCGTTGATTGATTCATCTCTAACATGGGATCTTATTCCGTGGTTGAGATCGGTGACAAAGTTAGGGATTGTTTTAAAAGGCATTTTGACTGCAGAAGATGCAAGGTTGGCAGTACAGTATGGCGTTGATGGTATCTTAGTTTCAAATCATGGTGGACGACAACTTGACACTGTACCTGCTGCGGTAACTTTCAATAATTAATACATGTGTAAAAATGCACAAGTTGCAACAAACCTGCAGCACGAGACTTGTAGCAATGCTGTTCCAACAACTTGTCAACAGAATGTGTTCGCACTGCTTGTTCCCAGCTTGTTGACAACTTGCTACAAGGTTGTGGAGCGCAACAGACTTGTTACTTATTTTACCTTAATTCGACAATTTGTCAACAAACAAACCTGTTGTGAAAACATCTTGTTGACAAGTTGTGAAACTTACTATTGAAACTTAAGAGCAAGCAAATCAGATACCCACTTTCTCAATATTATTTATTTACCTCCAAATACAAGACTACTGATCAGGGCCCTGCTACTGATGACATTATTTTCACGCTCTTGATAACTACACGTTGACCACCAAAACTGCTTCCATGAGGTTTTTCAGCAAAAGTAACTGAGCTATACTCGTGTATTTTAGATTGAAGCGTTGCCAGAGATAGTGTCTGCAGTTGATGGGAAATGTGAAGTATATTTAGATGGTGGTGTGAGGTTTGGTACAGATGCTTTTAAAGCTTTAGCTCTCGGTGCAAGAGCTGTCTTTGTAGGAAGACCTGTTTTATGGGGACTGGCGTATCAGGTAGAGTATACATTATTATCCACGCTATCCTTCTGTCCACAAGAACTTAAATTGATTCTTGTCTCTCCAGGGTGAAGAAGGTGTTGCCAAAGTTCTACAGATCTTCAAAGATGAATTTAAATTAGCCATGGGACTTACAGGTAAGGATGTATAATTTGACAAAGATATTTCACATGTTTATATACTGTTTTTATTCAACATATTTTGTTTTATTTTCTAAATAGGATGTTGCAGTGTTCAAGATATTTCACGAGACATGGTTGCTCATGAAATGCAATGTTCAAAACTTTGATTAAATTTATATCTTTCTGTATAAGTGCATTAAGTAGATATGATATCATGAGCTTGAGTCGTATATGGACTATATGCGCTGCTATATACGACTAGAGGAAATGGTATAATTGTTTTACAATATAGTCTAATGACTATTAACTGCAGCAGTACAATATTCTTCTCTGTTGCAATGTTTTGATATTTTGTTCAGTAATGAGAGGGTTGAAATTTATTTCAGGATTTCAAAAAGATTTAGTCAATTGTTGTAGAAGCAATATAATTAAACTAATTAATGAATGGTCGAAGCGGTTGTTGAAATTTCTATCTCCGTGTGGAAACACGAAATGTGGAATAATGTCAGAGCCAGTGTGTATTTCTGATTTTGAAAATCATGCCAAAGAATTTCTCCCAAAGAACGCCTGGGATTATTATAGTTCTGGAGCGAATGAAGGGAATACATTGAGAGAGAACAGATGTGCTTTTGACAGGTATGAAATATTTTTGTAGGTTTAAAAAATATTAATTCAAAAACTTGAAAGGGCCGTTGGTTCAATTCCTACCAGAGGACCTTGTGCTGCATTTTTCGCAGTCGTTCCTGGTTAGGTCTTAAAATGTATATATTCTCACTTGGATTACAAACCCTAACATTCTAATACATTTTGCTGACTGAAGTAATTAGAATTAATTAGAATATTTAGACATTAATTTCTAACAGGCCATGTGTATATTTTTCTACAGACTGAGGTTGCGTCCTCGTGTGTTGCGAGATGTTTCAACCATTGATATATCCACAACAATCCTTGGAGAGAAAATTGATTTTCCAATTTGTGTCGCGCCAACTGGCGTGCAGAAGATGGCGCATCCTGATGGGGAAATTGCAACAGTGAAAGGTAGTTCACTCTGAGCAAGATTTCATACATTCCCCTAACCCCCACCCCCAAAATACCAACACTTGTGGTGTCATGTGGTCACCACGCTTCGCTTTCAAGCCGGGAGACTCTGGTTTAACCCTTGGTCAGACCTCTATACTCAAGGTCTTAAAATAACTGACTCAGAGGAGACATTGATATCACTAAATCGTTAGACTTTTGCATCTTCACATTAAATCGCAAGTACCTCGGATCCCCTAAAAATCCGCTCACCAATGTCTTGAGCGAGAAAATCTAAAAACGTCCTTCACTCTGATCAATAATAGTAAAAAAATGCCTTTTTAATTATAATTCAAAGGGAGGTACACTAGAAAAGAATTCTTAATTATTCTCTAGCTGTTGACCAAGCTGGTACATGCATGACTTTGAGTTCAGGTTCAACATCAACCATTGAAGATGTTGCAAGTGCTTCCTCTGGATTAAAATGGTTTCAGTTGTATGTCTACAAAGATCGAGATGTTACAATAGACTTGATAAGAAGAGCAGAGAGGGCAGGTTTCAAAGCTATTGCAGTGACTGTGGACACGCCCTACCTTGGACGAAAGTATGCTGATGTCCGCAAGAGATTTACATTACCCCCTCATTTGACAGAAGCCAACTACACCAACAGTTACGAAACTGGAGTCAAGGGTCTCTATGATTCGTTTGAATCATCGATTGATTCATCTCTAACATGGGATTTTATTCCGTGGTTGAGATCGGTGACAAAGTTAGGGATTGTTTTAAAAGGCATTTTGACTGCAGAAGATGCAAGGTTGGCAGTGCAGTATGGTGTTGATGGTATCTTAGTTTCAAATCATGGTGCACGACAACTTGACACTGTGCCTGCTACAGTAACTAATTTCTAACTTTTAACATTACACATGTCATCTAACAATGCACAACTTGTTACAACAAGGATTCAACAACTTGTTATTGTCCTCCAATTCAACAATTTGTCAACAAGTTGTGAGTGAACTCCTTGTACAACTTGATAAAATAACAGCATTGTTACAACTTGTTGCCAAACTTGCTACAAGCCTGTTGCGAACACATCTTGTTGACAAGTTGTGAGATTTTTATGTGGGTAGGTGGTGGTCAACTATTGAGACATTAGAAGCAAGCCAATCAAGCTACATCTCTCAATGTTTATTTACCTCCAAATACAAGACTACTGGTGACATTATTTTCACGCACTTGATAACTACACATTGACCACCAAAACTCAGCTTCAGTGAACTTTTTCAGAAACTCAGGTGTACTCGTGTATTTTAGATTGAAGCATTGCCAGAGATAGTGTCTGCAGTTGATGGGAAATGTGAAGTATATTTAGATAGTGGTGTGAGGTTTGGTACAGATGCTTTTAAAGCTTTAGCTCTTGGTGCAAGAGCTGTGTTTGTAGGAAGACCTGTTTTATGGGGATTGGCGTATCAGGTAGAGTATACATTATTATCCACGCTATCCTTCTGTCCACAAGAACTTAAATTGATTCTTGTCTTTCCAGGGTGAAGAAGGTGTTGCCAAAGTTCTACAGATCTTCAAAGATGAATTTAAATTAGCCATGGGACTTACAGGTAAGGATCTATAATTTGACGAAGATATTTCACATTTTTGTCTTTTAGTCAACATATTTTTTTATTTTCTAAATAGGATGTTGCAGTGTTCAAGATATTTCACGAGACATGGTCGCTCATGAAACGCAATATTCAAAACTTTGATTAAATTAGTTTTCTGTATATAGTATATTAATTAATTAAGTACAGTATATATATGATATATTTTTAAATTAAAACAATTATCCCGCAAGCTGGAGCCATATATGCACTGCTATATACGACTATTGCAAATGGTATAATTGCTTTATAGTGCAGTCTAACGACTATTAACTACAGCAATATAATATATTCTCTGCTGCAATGTTTTGACAGTTTGTTCAGCCAAAATAAAGACTATAAAGCACTTTTATAAATTCCATGAATTTAGTCAAATTTTATGTTAACTATTAGTTTTTGGTTTGGTTGAAATTATGTTAAAACACTCGGTCCTCGTGCTCGGTCCTCATTTTCAACACACTTCCCAGTTATCTCTATTTCTACACCCCCTCTTGCCCCCCCTCTTGTCCCCCCCCCCTCCTGTCC